TTGTAGATCTCGTTGTCCTCTACAAAAAAGATCGTATGCAATTTTCCCGTATCTCCAACGGTTTAGGAGTTATTGGCAAAAAACAAAAATTTCGCAAAATCTGAAGGGGTACCCCTTGGAAAAATCTCGGAAAAATAAAAAAATTTTTTTTTGCTGTTTATTATTAGCATTGTTCTTCCGACGTCTGATTTCTTTTTAAAAAATGCGTTTCTAAAGTACATAAACTTTTGGGATTGACTGTATAGCCAATACATCCTTAAGGTACGAAACGATAAGTATAAGCGCTACGAAACAACAAGGCCTCGAAGAGTCGTTGATGAAGATGCGCGGCGAATGGGACGACGTGATTTTCACGACTGTACTTTACAAAGATTCCGGGGTTACCATTTTGACGCAGTTGGACGACATTCAAGCATTGTTAGAGGAGCAAATTATAAAAGTTCAGGCAATGCGAGGCTCCGCGTTCGTCAAACTCATCGAGGAAGAAGTGAAGGAGTTTTATTTTCTTCTGCTTCGAATTGAATCGACCATCGAGGAATGGACCAAAGTACAGTCAAGATCTTTACTTTTTGATTTCACTTATTCATCGTTTGTTTCGCCGGGTATCAGGTCCAAGTACAATGGATGTACTTATTGCCTATTTTCTCGAGCAAAGACATCGTGGCGCAGTTGCCCGACGAAGAAGTATTATTCTCTCAAGTCGACAGAATATTCCGCAGCGCGATGAACGGCGTCGCGAAGGACCCTCACGTACGAGAAACTGCTGGCTCTGTAAGTAATGGACACGCGACTTCGACCGAACGACAGAAAACTAACATCTGCTTTCAGGTAGGTCTTCTAGAAATCATGCAGGAAGCGAACTCGTTGATGGAAAAAGTGAATGACGGCGTGCTGAATTACTTAGAGAAGAAGAGACTTTTCTTTCCACGATTTTTCTTCTTGAGCAACGACGATATGCTGGAAATACTGTCCGAAACAAAAGAGCCTCTGCGGGTTCAACCGCATCTTCGAAAATGCTTCGAAGGCATAAACAGGCTGCGGTAAACTGACGCAGGAAAATGATAAACGGTCAAAATTTAATTTCATAATAATTCGGTAGATTCGATGAGGAATTGGAAATATTGGCAATGATCAGCGAAGATCAAGAAGAAGTCAGGATGCAGGAACAAATCTCGACCACTGCTGCGAGAGGCTGCGTGGAACGGTGGCTCATCCAAGTACGCGTATAACAGTTCCCGCATTAGATAGCGATTCGTAACACCAGCTCTTGTAGGTCGAGGAACAAATGATCAAATCTGTGAGACACGAAATCCTCATGAGCTATCTCGATTACGAAGTGAACAAGCGAGTAGCCTGGGTGCTTATTTGGCCCGGCATGGTCGTGCTGTGCGTCAGCCAAATCTATTGGAGCATGGAAGTTCAAAACAGTCTCATGACTCGTATGCTGTCAGCGGTAGAAGAGCTCCATGCGAAACTCCGGTCTCAGATCCTGGAAATGGTCGAACTAGTCAGAGGTATCACCAGGTATCGATCTAAAATTGATCAACATGGTGGAAAACTTCAAATTTGTTTCCTTAGGACAGCTGACGAAGCAAAGCCGAACTACGTTGAACGCTTTGATCACGTTAGACGTACATGCCATGGACGTAGTTAGAGTGTTGATCGACAAGAACATCGTAGACGAAACGGACTTCGAATGGTTGTCGCAGTTGCGTTATTATTGGGAAGACGACGTCTTCGTTAAGATCATATACACGAGCGTGGCTTACGCGTACGAGTACATAGGAAATACTGCCCGGCTCGTGATCACTCCTTTAACGGACAGGTGTTACCGCACGCTGGTCGGAGCATATTCGTTGCATTTAAACGGAGCGCCGGAAGGACCGGCCGGTACCGGAAAAACGGAGACTACAAAAGACTTGAGCAGAGCACTAGCCGTGCAATGCGTGGTCTTTAATTGCTCCGAAGGTCTCGATTACAAGAATATGGGGAAATTCTTCAAGGGTCTCGCCGCGTGCGGTGCATGGTCCTGTTTCGACGAATTCAACAGGATCGACCTGGAAGTGCTCTCTGTAGTCGCGCAACAAATTCTTTGCATTATTCAGGCGGTGCGAGGCAAACTAGAGACATTCGTCTTCGAGGGTACCGAGTTGCAATTGAACCCTGCCGTTTACGTCTGCATCACTATGAATCCCGGATACGCAGGCCGTTCGGAGCTTCCTGACAATTTGAAAGTTCTCTTCAGGACCGTCGCGATGATGGTACCCGATTATGCGATGATCGCTGAGATATTTCTTTATTCCTCCGGGTTCTCTACCGCCAGAGAACTTTCCACGAAAATCGTCACCACGTACAAGCTCTGCTCCGAACAACTGTCCACGCAATCACATTATGATTATGGTATGCGTGCAGTGAAGACCGTGTTGACAGCGGCGCAGAATATCAAACTACAATTTCCCGAGGAGAACGAGGCGATACTTTTACTTCGATCCGTGATCGACGTAAATCTACCGAAATTCTTGGCCCATGACGTTCCACTCTTTCAAGGCATAGTTTCCGACCTGTTCCCCGGATTGGAACTTCCAGCGCCGAGCTACGACGTGCTCCTTAAGGCTGTTCACGAGGTGGCCGACAAATTTAACTTGCAACCGGTCGACGGTTTCCTGCTGAAGATCATCCAGACGTTCGAAATGATGATCGTCCGCCACGGATTCATGCTCGTGGGTGAACCGCTCGGTGGTAAGAGCACTGTTCTCCACACGTTAGCCGATGCTCTGACTCTGATGTACGAATGGGGGGACGAGAACGGAGCGGCGACGAAATACTTCACAATCAACCCGAAGTCCATAACTTTGGGACAGCTGTACGGATTTTTTGATCCCGTTTCATCGGAATGGACCGATGGCGTGTGCGCGGTCGCGTTTCGAGCGTACTGTACCGAGGACACACCCGATAAAAAATGGATAATATTCGACGGGCCTGTCGATGCCGTATGGATCGAGAACCTTAACACCGTCCTCGACGACAATAAAAAGCTGTGCTTGACCTCAGGCGAGGTGATGCAAATGACCGGAGTAATGTCGATGATCTTCGAGACCATGGATCTTTTCCACGCGTCACCCGCTACGGTGTCCCGTTGCGGGATGATATACATAGAGCCCCGTGTTCTCGGATGGGAACCATTCTTCCGTTCTTGGATGAACGACTTGAATCCCACTTGGAAGGAAGGTAGCGAGGATACCATCAACGAGCTGTTTTACTGGTTGACCGATCCCTGCTTGGATTTTATTCGAAAGAGTTGCCGCGTAACGCTGACTGCCGGTCAGATTCACCAGGTCGTCTCGACATTGAATCTCTTTGAAATGTTCATAGAAGATGCCGTCGAGCAGAATCTGCAAACGTTCGACCAGTTCTTATTACCTTGGCTACAAGCGACGATGTTGATGTCGATGGTTTGGGGAGCCGGGGGCACGCTCGACTACGATTCTCGTGTCAAATTTAACACGTTTTATTTGAGTTTCTGGAGGAACGAGCGGAAGGATCACCCGCTTCCGGAATTTCTGGTTGAATCTCTGATCTCGTTGCCGGAGGATTTGATTCACGATTGTTTTTACACGTACCGTGGGAGGGGAGCTTGGAGGAAGTTCGTAGACGTGGCCAGGCAGGAAGAATTCTCGACCACTGGAAGCATCGTTCAAGTAATGATACCCACCGTTGACACGGTCAAGTATCAAAGTCTGTTTATGAAATACATCAAGCACCGCAGGCGTTTCCTGCTGTACGGGGAAACAGGGACTGGGAAGAGTTTCTATATCAAAGATCTAATCATGAACAAGTTGTCCGAGGCCGAATATCTGCCGAACTTCATCACGTTCACTCCGAACATCACTGCCGCACAGACGCAGGACTTGGTAATGTTGAAATTATACAAAAGACGTAGAAATAAATTCGGTCCCTTGCCCGGCACCCATTGCATTGTGTTCATCGACGACGTTAACATGCCAGCGAAAGAGATATACGGTTGTCAGCCGCCGATCGAGCTTCTTCGCCAGTTTTTCGACCACAAAATTTGGTTCGATTTGAAGAAACCAGAAAAGATCAAGATATTCGATACCATGTTCGTTTGCGCGATGGCTCCGCCGGGTGGCAGCAGACAGGAGCTGTACCGGAGATTCTTGAGGCATTTCGCGTTGTTCACGATCAGCAGCTTCACCGAGGAAACGACGATTCGAATCTTCACGAACATTGCGTTCGTTGGATTGCAACGGCACGGTTTCACCACAGCCGTGATGCCGACTATCATGGATATCGTGAACGCGACTATGAACATCTTCCAGAACGCCCAGAGCGAGCTCAGGCCGACGCCGGCCAAGTCTCATTATCTTTTCAATTTGCGAGACTTCTCTCGCGTGATAACGGGCTGCACGATGATCAGAGAAGAGTCGGTCGAGTCCAAGTCGGATTTTACTAAATTGTGGGTTCACGAGATATTGAGAGTATTCGGTGATCGTCTGATCGACGAATTAGATCGGCAATGGCTGTTCGTAAAGGTCAGAGAGGTCGTCGGGAGTAATCTTAGAGAGAATTTCGAGTCGGTCTTCGGTCACTTACCGACTTTCGACGATCAACTGACAGAGCAGAGCCTGCGTAGTCTCATATTCGGGACTTTTATGGACGTCGACTCGATCCCTGCCGATCGGAAATACGAGGAGGTGAAGTCGATGGAGGAGTACTTGGAGGTAGCGATTAGCTGCCTCGAAGAGTACAACCTCACGCACAGATATAAAATGGACATAGTACTGTTCCGTTACGCTCTCGAACATTTGGCAAGGATCTGTCGGATATTGGTGATCCCCTGCGGAAGTCTGTTGATGGTCGGCGTGGGTGGATCTGGGAGGCAATCGTTGACGAGGCTCGCTTCGAACATGGCAGGACACGGCCTGTTTCAACCGGAGATGGGTAGCACTTACGGTCTACAAGAATGGCATGACGACATAAAAAAAGTTTGTACTTCACCGGTTCTGATAACAATTAGGCATACGCGATCCTTGTTGTTCATTTAGGTACTCATGAACTCCGGAGGCCTGGGCAAGGATTTCGTGTTTCTGCTCACCGAGGGACAGATCAAAAGTGACATCTTCCTCAACGATATCGACAGTCTGTTGAACTCCGGCGAGGTGCCCGATCTGTTCACCATCGAGGAGAGGCAAGAGATCATCGAGGCAACTCGACTGGCTGCTCAGGGCGGCGATCGGAACTTGGACATATCCGTGCTGGCCATACTCTCGTTTTTCGTAAATCGTTGCAAAGAGAAATTGCACATAATGCTGTGCTTCAGCCCTATCGGGGATACGTTCAGAATTAGGCTCCGGTTGTATCCGAGTTTGGTGAACTGTTGCACGATCGACTGGTTCGACGTGTGGCCGGAAGACGCCCTCGAACAAGTAGCTGTGCGGAGCACCACCGACATCAACGTCGACGAGCAAGTAAAAATTAACTCGGTGGTGGCGTGTAAATTCTTTCACATTTGCGCGAAAGACATCAGTAAGAGATTTTACAGCGCTACCGGTAGACACACTTATGTGACTACGGCTAGTTTCCTCGATCTTATACGAACTTACGCGGAGTTGATGAAAGAGAAGCAAGAGGAGTTGAGTCTCGCTAGGTGAGAAACAAAATTATCAATGACAACAACGATGATACAGCTGTATATGTTTTTACCATAGAGATCGATACGTCAATGGACTGGATAAGATAGAATTCGCGGCTCAACAAATAGGTCAAATGAGAGTAACGCTCTCGCAGCTACGACCGCAACTCGAAGCATCCGCCAAGGAAACAGCCGACACAATGGAGAAAATTGAAACGGAGAACATTAGCGTAGAGAAGGCGAGGGTCATGGTGAAGAAAGACGAAGACATGGCGAACGTACAAGCCGAGGTAGCGAAGAATTTGAAGACCGAGTGCGAGGCGGATTTGGCAGAAGCTTTGCCAGCCTTAGAAGACGCGTTAGGTGTGACTCGACGTAAAGAAACTTTTGTTCGAAGTCATACGCTAACGTGTTTTTTATGATCGTAGCTGCTTTGAACACTCTGAAACCGGCTGACATAACAGTTGTAAGGACTATGAGACAGCCTCCGGCCGGAGTGAGGCTCGTGATGGCTGCTGTATGCGTGATGTTAGGCATACCGCCGATCAAAGTCGAGGATCCAGCCACTGGCAAAAAGGTGAACGACTACTGGGCTCCGAGTAAACGTCTGTTGGGCGACATGAAATTTCTCGAAAATTTACGAAATTACGATAAAGACAACATCCCTGCGCATATAATACAAGTATTGCCGACCGCTATTCTTGTACTCCTTACCGCGTCGATTTCGGTTTAAAAGGAATACCATTGAATTATAGGAAATAAAAACGACTTATCTGACAGATAAGTCCTTCGAGCCTAAAGTCGTAGCTAGGGCATCGTCGGCAGCCGAGGGTCTCTGCAAATGGGTAAGGGCCATGGTTTTATACGACGAGGTAATCAAAGTGGTCAAACCCAAGAAGGAGAAGCTCGAGCGTGCGGAACAGGATTACGACAATACTATGAAATTCTTGCAAGAGAGGCGACAGATGCTGGCCGAATTGACCGAAAAATTAAGGATTCTCAACGAAAATTTACAAGTGACTCTGGCGAAGAAGATAGAATTGGAGAACGAGGTAAAGCGGATGCGAAACATTCGTGCACGATCGCGTATGGTGCTGAGATCGCTAAGTTCTTATTAAGTAAGAATCGTTTAGGTGACGAAGTGCAGGAACCAGTTGATTCGAGCCGAGAAGTTGATCAGCGGCTTGGGCGGAGAAAAAGATCGGTGGACGAACGCAGCGATTAACTTGCAAAAATCGTACGACACTTTGCCGGGAGATATTTTAATTTCCTGTGGAATGATAGCGTACTTGGGTCCGTTCACGACCGTGTACCGTACCGAGAGTTTAGAGAAGTGGATAGTTCACGTTAAGGGGCTAAGGATTCCCTGTTCAGAGAATTACGATTTCGTCGAGGTACTCGGGTCCGAAATAAAGATCAACTCGTGGAACATATACGGTCTGCCACGGGACTCGTTCTCCACTGAGAACGCTATCATCATGGACAATTCGAAGAGATGGAGCCTGTTCGTTGACCCCCAGAGCCAGGCCAATAAATGGATTCGCAATATGGAGAAACAAAATAAACTCGAAATTGTGAAACTGACGGACGCGAAATATATGAATGTCATTGAGCAGGCACTAGAATATGGTAAAGAGCCCCGTTTTAAGAAATATGCGCTTTTTTAATTTTATAATAATCGAATTTAGGGAAACCGGTGTTGATAGAAAACGTTCTCGAAGATCTGACACCGCCTCTGGATCCGATATTGACGAAGGCCATATATAAAATGGGTACCTTATGGTACATCACACTCGGCGAAAAAGTGATCGAATACGGTTTGGGCTTTCGACTGTACATCACGACTAAACTGCGCAATCCCCATTATCTTCCGGAGGTTTTTAATAAAGTGACGCTCATCAATTTCGCGTTGACGATAGGCGCTTTAGAGGATCAACTGTTGGGTATCGTAGTAGCGAAAGAAAGACCAGATCTGCAGGAGAAGCGAGAATACTTGATCGTTCAGAGTGCTGCGAACAGGAAAGCTTTGCAACAAGTGGAAGATAACATTCTGAAAACGTTGTCGGTAGCCGGAGACAGGATTCTGGAAGACGAGGAGGCTATAGAGATTTTGGACTCGTCGAAGATTCTTTCGATCGATATAATAAAGAAACAAGCCGCTGCGGTGAAGACCGAGGCACAGATCGAAGGATTCCGACAAAATTATAGGCCTATCGCGAAACACAGCTCTGCTCTTTACTACACGATCACCGATTTGCCCAACATAGATCCTATGTATCAATATTCTTTGGCATGGTTCATTAACTTATACGTGAATTCCATCGACACAGCGAAAAAGAGCAAAATTCTTGAAAGGAGGCTCGGGTTTCTCCGAGAAACTTTCACATACACTTTGTACTCGAACGTTTGTAGATCATTATTTGAAAAGGATAAGGTAAAATTATTTTCATTTCTGTTGACGTACGAACTTCGATTTAATCGCTTGACCGATCGATCTCTCCCGTCAGCTCCTATACTCGTTCGTCTTGTACACAACGATATTATTGTCCGAAAATGCGATCATGCAAGAGGAATTGATGTTCTTCCTATCCGGAGGTGTCGCATTGGCTGCGGTCCCGGATAATCCGATGTCAAGCTGGCTATCAGATAAATCCTGGGGCGAAATTTGTAGAGTCAAAGATGTACGAGGATTCGCCAATTTTCAATCAAGCTTCTTGAGTAACGAGACCGCGTGGAAGCAGTACTATGATTTAACGAATCCGGAAGATTCGTCGATCCCGAGCCCATGGGAAAATACTTTAACGCCGTTTCAAAAGCTGATTGTTACGAGGATGATCAGAACCGACAAAGTGATGATCATGGTAAAACGATCTTCCTTTTACACTCGTTTATTCATCCTCTTATGTGTATAAGTACTTACGGTAAAAACATCTTAGATACAACGATTCATCGAAGCTGGAATGGGTTTGCACTTCGTGGTACCGCCACCCTTCGACATCTCCAAATCATTCGCAGACTCGAGCTCTTTGGTACCGTTAATCTTCATCTTGTCACCGGGTTCTGACCCGATGGAAGCGCTTACTTCGTTCGCAGTTAATCTGAACTTCATGGAGAGGTTTCATTCGATATCGCTCGGTCAGGGCCAAGGACCGATCGCGCAAAGTTTGATCTACAAAGCGCAGAACGAAGGGGAATGGGTATGCTTGCAAAATTGTCATCTGGCCGCCTCTTGGATGCCCATGATGGAGAGCATTTGCGAGCATTTCGATCCGACGAACACGCACGTGAACTTCCGTTTGTGGCTCACCAGTTATCCCTCAGAGCATTTCCCGATCACGATTTTACAGAACGGCGTCAAAATGACCAACGAGCCGCCAACCGGATTGCAAAACAATATCATGAGGTGACGAATTCGACACGTGATAGACTTTAACGTGTGATCTATCGAAAAAATGTGATGCGATTTTTACGATGCCAGGTCTTACAAGGCAGAAGCGATTAAGACGATAGAAGCTTTCGATACGGAGCCTGTCAAGAAGAGAAAGTTCTCGAAGTTGCTTTACGCTTTGTGTTTCTTTCACGCTGTGGTCCAGGAGAGACGAAATTACGGCCCTCAGGGTTGGAACATACGATACGGTCTGTCAAATATATCACACGATCTGTTATGCCAAATGAAATGAAAAATTGTACGAGATACGTGCGTTCGTGCGACAGGCTTCAATGAATCCGATCTACAAATATCCGCGCAGCAACTTCATCTGTACATAAATGACTACGCAGAAGTGCCGTTCAAAGCTATCGTATATCTGACCGGTGAATGTAATTACGGAGGACGAGTGACGGACGAGAGGGACCGGAGATGTTTGAACACGATATTGGAGGATTTTTATAATCAAGACGTGATCACGGATCCGAATTATACGTTCGCGGACATCGGGCCAGAATACGCCTTGCCAAAAAGGTACGGCTTAAAATTTAAACGCAGGTTGAACGCTGAACGTAAATAAATTGATTGATCGTATCGCATAGACACGATTACGAAGACTACGTCAAACAGATCCAATTGATACCGTTCAATCCACCACCCGAAGCGTTGGGATTGCACATGAACGCGGGAATCACGCGTGATCTCGAGCTGGCGAATACTTTCTTCTTGTCGATGTTGCTGGCCCAGGGAGCGGTCACGGTGGGCGACCCTACTAAGCAAGATGAGATGTTGCTGAACTTAAAGAAGGACATATACGAGAGGATGCCCGAATTGTTCGACGTCGAAGAAGCACAGAAGCAGTACCCAGTTTTGTATCACGAATCGATGAATACCGTATTGATACAGGAATTAGAAAGATACAACACTCTTCTGTATGAAATCCGAAACTCTCTTACCATGCTGGAAAAAGCGGTCAAAGGATTGATCGTAATGACAGCTGACTTAGAAGTACACGCGTTTATCAAGCGAGCTAATGGCATTTCAAATGTCCGAATGAAAGCGCATTGAATCATTATGTTCTAGGTTTTAATTGTTTACATATTGAGCGCGAGAATACCACCGTCTTGGGTAAAAGCGTGCGCCTATCCAAGCTTGAAACCGTTGCCGAATTTCATCAACGACTTCCTCGATCGATTGAACTTCTTCCAAAAATGGTTGGAAGAAAACAAACCGAAGACGTTTTGGATAAGCGGGTTTTCGTTCGTGCACGCTTTTCTGACGGCGACCACGCAGAACTACGCTAGGAAATACAAAATACCGATCGATCGAATCGATTTTGATTTCGAGGTTTTTATTAGAATTATGCTCGCTTCTTTCAGTTCTTCGTTTTAAACAGATGTTCTTTACATTCGTTAGGTACTACCTACGTATGAATTGGACGAGTCCCCGGTCGACGGTGTATACGTCTACGGCATGTTCTTAGCCGGGGCGAGATGGGACATGCGAACTATGCTGCTCGCGGAAAGTTTCCCGAAAGTACTTTGGGATCCTATGCCGATGATTTGGATGAAACCGCGCGTCGTTACCGAAATTATAGTGGGAAACAGATACGAATGCCCGCTTTACATAACATCCGCGCGTTTCGGTATTCTTAAGACAACAGGACACTCTACCAATTATGTACTGTCGATTCTCATAGATACTAATTTACCCATCAGTCATTGGGTCAAAAGAGGATTAGCTCTACTTTGTCAATTAGACGATTAAACGATTAATCGTACTGTCTGTCTTTTATCTCCAAACGCGAATTCCCATCTTTTATTGAAATGCCTCTCGGTTGATAGAGGAAGTCGAGATGAAGAGAATCGCTTTTGATTTATTCCGATATCTCGATCTCTTCCGGAGATACAGATTTTCAAAGTTTACCTGCAGTGTTTCATATCGATGACACGGTGACCCACTTACGCGTTATGCAAGTCTGGAGTCTAGACGCGGTTGAGGAAGATTCGGGTAGGTCCGTGAATCGGTCAACGATCTGGCCCAACAAGGAAGGAATCATCGTTGTCTTCTTCACACGATGTTACATTTATGTTTTTTAACCCTCCTCCGACTGTGCCAGAGTAACGGGATTCGCTGCCGAACTTCTTATCTCGAGAGTGATAACGTACACAGTAACAGAACGGTGTGTATATGAAGCACGGGAAGCACCAAGCACCTCGTCTTTCACGGTCTATACTATAGGAAGTGGGAAGGACCACGAAGCTTGAGAATGGCATGTTTTGAATCAGTCGGTGAACCGGATTTGTTTTAATTTACCTATGTTTTCCTAATTTACATCTGGATAAGATTTAATAACGTGCGGTATAAAAGAAAACGATCATATTTTTATTCAACAGTTTTGTTACCATGAATAATTCTACGTTTGTCCTCGATAATGGTGCTTATACAGCGAAAGTAGGGTTAGCTTCTGAGAATAACCCGAAGTAAGTTACAACAATAAAATGTAATTAATTCTTTAGTACTTTCAAAAGGAAGAACTCTAATACCGTTCACTTTTAGAGTGGTGCCGAATTGTATAATGAAAGCGAAGAGCGAACGACGAAGACCTTTCGTAGGGAATCAGATCGAAGAATGCCGGGACGCATCTGGACTATTTTACATGTTACCCTTCCAGAAAGGATATCTTGTCAATTGGGACGTCCAGAAAACAGTCTGGGATTACATATTTTCGAAGGAATGCTGTCTCGTAAACTTAAATCGATTATCTATAATCGTGACTGAACCTCTGTTTAATTTCTCAACCATCCAAGAGGCTATAACAGAAATATTTTTCGAGGAATACGAATGCCAGAGACTTTTAAGAATCAACCCTTCTACCTTATCCTGTTATCAATATAAGACAGAGAATCCTAATGCAAAGTGCTGTATCGTAGTCGACAGTGGTTATAGTTTTACACACATAGTACCTTATATAAATGATATAAAAATTAAAGAGGGTATCAGACGGATAGACGTGGGCGGAAAACTTCTCACGAATCATCTTAAAGAAATTATATCCTACCGTCAGCTGCATGTCATGGACGAGACTTACGTAATAAATCAGGTGAAAGAGGATTCTTGCTTTGTATCTCAGGATTTTTACAAGGATATGGAAACTGCCAAAAATAAATTAGAAAATAATCCTATAGTCAAAGATTACGTTTTACCGGATTATACAACGTTAAGACGCGGCTATTTAAAAAATCCGGAACCTCCTAACGAGCAGCAGACACTACGCTTGAGTAATGAAAGATTCGCTATACCTGAAATTTTGTTCTTTCCCTCGGATGTCGGCATTCGTCAAATGGGCATACCGGAAGCAATCATGGATTGCCTAAAAGCATGCGACGAGGAAACGTGGCCACATCTCTTGTCAAATATCATTCTGACTGGGGGTAACGCGAAGTTTCCCGGGTTCCAAGAAAGAATTTATAAGGAAGTCAGAAGCTTAGCACCTGCAGAATATACGATAAACGTGCATTCACCCGAAAAGTAAACACTAATACTAAATTAACTTTCTGGTCGATACTAATTATTGAGAAGACTTCAATTCACCTACGTAATGTATTTTTACATCATTTTCAGCCCGATCACGTACGCATGGCATGGTGGCAAGACACTTTCGAAAGATCCAATATTTTCGTCTCTATTAGTAACTAGGGAAGATTATGAAGAAGAGGGTCAAAACCTTTGTTTCGAACGGTTCGATGTTTAACGTTAATAAATTTTTTTATCGAATAACTTATACAAATGTGTATCATATTGCAGCATGTTTCTGTTCTTTAAATAACGTAAAAAAGTGGAATGGGTATGCGGTAGCGTTTGTAGTACTAAAGCAATCCTCGTGAGTTAGTCAAATTTAAATCGATTTCATCTGTGCCATTAGTTCGTCTAAACTAACATCAGCCTGAATAGTTTGAAAATCCGTTGAATCCGAGGCGTTAGTAAAATGCTCATTCTCATGTATCTGCTCATCTTCTTCATCCACGAGAGATATTCCTGATTGAAACATAATCGTTCAAATCGATGATCATACTATTCTCTTACTCTCTTTGCGTAGTAGTACATACCCCATTCGTTATCTTCATGTACAGGCTTATCTTCAACTGTTTCTTCTACTTTCTTCTCCGTTTTCGGTTTCGATTCATATTCTTGTTGGCGTTCTTTGCAGTACCTATCGTCGCAATTCGGATTCGGCCTTAACGTCATTTTCGGAAAGAAATCTTGCATAGCATTGTAGCCCAGATAATAGGATACCTCACCGAAATTTAGGAGGTACTTTAACGCGTTTTGAACCAAGAAGCCTGCCACAATACCCATTGTTGTTGGCAAAGACGCTGCGCAAACACCGTCTCGTTTCAATGTTTTCTCGTCTATATTTTCGGCCACTACCAATGGAGGAGCGCACTGAAAAATTACGCGTTCACAAACCAATATAATCGTTCAGTTACATAGTTGTACATGAATTTCGTTCTTTACTAACCGCGAAACAAGCCGTTTCTCCGGGTATAATGAACTGAATGTGACCTGAAACAGCATTTTCCGAAACTCCACTCTCGAACCACTTCTGATTAAGTTCGTTGCACGCAGTATTAATAGTCATTCTTGCTTCGAAATTATCTACACAACTTAATACTAGATCCACTGGTCCTTTGCTTAAACTTCCTGTACTATGGTTCGAATTTTACATTTGTGAAGTGCTTTTAATTACAATGAAAAAAATATCACTTCCGCCTACCTTATAGTATTCATGAAATGATCAAAGTGATCAACTGTGGTGATATTATAATTATGGGTTTCTATTTCTACATCTGGATTGATGTACTGCAAAGTCGTTGCTGCTGCTTCCACTTTGCTCTGGCCAGCTTGATACGGTTGAAAGAACAATCTGTTCATATTGGCCATTTCTACTTTATCGTAGTCGAACAAAATCAACTAAAATTAGTGTCTTTGTTAGTCAGATAATCGACAAGTTATTTCGAGAGTGACGACAAGATTTTTACCTTTCCAATCCCGCATCTCGTTAACATTTCCGCAGTTACACTGCCAACTCCGCCTACTCCGACAATGGCAATCGTCAGTTCTCTTATTTTTTCATAATTATCCACTATACCCATACGCTTCAGTGCCATCAAACGACTAATAAAATCATATTTATTAACTGACAGACATGAAAGATATATTCGACAGAATAGATGAGAATTACCTGTAGGGATTTGAATCGACGACTTCGCTTGACATATGTTCTATCTTTTCTCTTGCCGCGAACATATTTTTACGTTGTTCCTCGAGTAATTGGTGTTCCAATTCTTGGATTCTCTGTCGTAATCCACTAATCATCGTTGAAATTCGTAATAGATTTAAAAGAAACGTGAGCTGACCGTGCGACACTGCGGCTACGATTATGACACGCAGACAACTTGTGGATCATGAAAATACGTTACGTATCAGTATTCTCTTGACTGAAGTTTTACTTTTTACCATGAATCGTTAAGTCTTTATATAAATATCAAATATATTTTTCATTTAACGTGTGCTATTAAATTTTGACATCTATTTTACAAATATAAATATTAGGTAACCTAGTGTGGTTCCTAGAGCAAGTTGTATCATGTAAGATTAAACAGAAATTCGTCAAATTCTATTTCAAACTATATTTCTTTTCACTTCGTTTTTAATAAAATAACGAGAATACAAATCCAAGGAGGGAACATGTGTTTTTTGACAGCTGCAGTATAAAGGATACCAAATGTACGGATTACATTATTGTCACGTATGTAACGCGCGTATAATACAATGAAAAATGAAGTAGTATATGTAGTATTTAATCTCGATAGGAAAACTTGAGAATCGTGATATTTATTCTTCTCATTTTAATACAAACAGAATCGTATTTGCTTCATTTTTCGAATTATCCTATACGGTACTACACTGCTCGGTGTTGTTGCAGCGTTTCCATTTTTTGTTTTAAATCGTACATATCGTCGTCAGTTTCAGTTACACTGTGTATTTGCGCATGACACCGATTCGGGTCCATTTAAAAAAAAAGTTTGCGACATTTCAGTAATATTCATTTAATCATCGTATCGCTAATTTTAGAGTAAATATTGCAAAAACGTTAAAAAACGTGATACGCATGGCGAATTATGTTTTCGTTTCCGTTCTGCCACCGAGATCGATGACAGTTGACGAACGTCGGGTTTAAATCAACTTATTTATAGTTTCGCGTATTTTGGCTAAGTTTATTGTCATACCTCAACCACGTCAAAATAGTTTCTTAATATGTATACAGTAAATACATCGTGTTCATTTAAAGAGGAAGAAGAAAATTAAAAAAGATTCAGAGCGGGAAATAAAATAAAAACCGAGTTAGGTAAATCTCCGCTTTGCACTGAAAGATATTCTTTTGTTTCTTTCTTAAAGTCCTCAATTGTTCGCGAAGGAAACGAAAAGAGAAGCGAACGGAAACCAATTCGTTCTAATGAAAAAGAGGTACACACATTTTGTTCTTGAAGCAGCGCGAAATTATGATGTTCCAAGATAAAATATCAAAGTTAAAATTTAGCATAATATATTAATTACATTAGTGACAATTCGTTATTTTAATCCGTATGATTCAAGTTCACTTGTAGACTTTAAATAATAGTCATTCAATAGTTCTTGCTTTTCCCCTATAAAACTAAACTAGATTATCGTAAACTTAACGTATATGAACAGGATAATTTATCAAACTTGGATAAACAATTACATTCTTTGCGCCGTTCTTGCCATTGCGATAAAAAACTACTTGAAATCAAACATTCCACGACCACCGTTCAAGCGGAATAAATAAAATGTATATTTATAATTTATACTCGTACACAAAGTATCTCTCTTTTTTTTACATCATTAATTATTACTACTAAGTATCGCAGTATTCGCTAATCGCATCTACGTACTTACTCTTCGCTTGCTCGTCCGTGTATATGTATATATATATTTTTTATGCGTTATTGAAAAATAAAANTTATATATATATATATAATGAATTGACCGTACTTTACGCGCAATTTAATACGTATAGGAACTGACGAATTCTTTCGAAATAATACGAAAGGACAATGGTGTACAAGTGGAGTGTGTTCTATTCCTATACATTCTTTTAATTAAAAGTACGTCTCTCTCGTCTCTCGCTCTCGCTCTCCCTCTTTCTCTCGAAGTAAATCTTTTTGTTGAAATGTACATAATAGACTGGCTTACGTTCGTATATGAGTATAATTACATGTTCAAATTCATAAGAAACGCATTGGTAATGCTGTATTTACGAAGTCAGCTCGTCGATCGATTCGGTTGCCGGTATTTAAACATTACATATTAGCTCGCAATAAAGCGTACAATTTACAGCAATACGAATGGTTTTTTTTTCTTTTAATTTTATTCTCTCGTCGTCGTGCATCGTTTTTGTTCATGTACGTAGGCTTCTGCTGGCGCCAAGTGTTTTTTTTTTTTAAAAGAGGTGCCTGTGAATGTTCTGTTTCGAGTCAGTCAAAAGTTAAATTACAAAACTGGCTACAGTTCGATATAACGTGTTACACAAAGTAGAAACATCTGTAGAAGTATGGGCGTAACAAGGTCTATAAAATTACGAAATGCGTCCTCGACATGGTACGATCTAAAACACCATTCGATCGATAATGCCATTACCAGTGTCGTTTGGTAACATCAATTACTGGATTACACAGGTATTCACAGAGCATAAAGAATACTTGGCTATAACAAACATTTTATTCAACTATTATTGTATCAGATATAAACGAACATTTTTTTTTTCATCGTTAAAAGTACTAAACCGAGCGGCCTAAGGTACATGTAAAGTGTAAGCACATGTATGTGCTACGTGTACGTGTCTGTCTCTCTCTCTCTCCCTCTTTCTCTGTGTGTGTCTGTGTTCGCACGCGTTTCTGTGTGAATGCAAATACACGTGACTCCTTTTCGTCTGTTTTGCATTATTTCTTGTCTTACGACAATCTCGCATTCAGAACGGACGATCCTCGTAAGCGACGTATGTAACATGATCTAGCTCGCATCCGTACACGAATCAATACGGATTTACCGTGGTGGTGACATTAGTAGCAGCGTCAACGAAACACAATAGAAATGATAAAAAAACGGAAAAAGATAATGAAAATAAGTGTGTGACACAGTTATTTGACAGCACACGCACACCAACCAATATGGGCGGAGCACGTATATACTATTTGAATATTTTGGTATCGTTTAACTTTCTCTTCCGTTCCTGAATCGTTTCGATGAAGCTCAGCCGTTGTCGATTATCTTTTCGGTACGCAGCGCCTTCGCTCCTTTCGTTCTTCGTTGCCGTTAAAACACTTCGAATTGCACATATCGTAGATTATGTTTACCAGTAGATACGTGAGACACGATTTCTCTTTCAAGTAATAACCGGGATGAAAAACAAGGAATGTCTAAAATATAGAACTTTATATACCACGTCAGAATATAATTGCCATTTACATAAGAGGTGGTCCACCATCGCACGAATGATCATCACTTTCTTTCCTCTTCGCAATTTTGTTGGCTCAAGCGGAGTGGAAGGATCAACTTTTTTTAGTACGTTATTAGTAGTGAAAAGACGTGAACTGCGTGAAAAAGATGTAACGGTCGTGATGAATACTTCATCGCTTTCTGTGTCCCATTTCCAACTGGTCTCGTCACACTTTTCTGTCGGTTTATTCCATGAACCGATACGCCGCTCACAGTCACGCCTAGGGATGGGATCAAGCCCCTCGCGCGAAATACCGATACCTAAATGAAAATGTTTGATTCTTTCGCACAATTTACCACAAATACGCATACATACTAAAAAAAATGCCTGTTTCGAAACTACTGACCAATTCAAGTCCAACTGTCGTTTAATAACAGAGATATAACTTATTCGCTAAGTTTTCAAAATCATATTACTTTTCTAAAACTGTACAAATTGCGCCGTCGATCATCGAGTTTTCACATGGTCTTGGGAACTATCGGTGAACAGCTACTTCAATTAAAATCTTTGTCACGTTTAGTGTAAATCGAAAACGAATCAAACATTTTCTCCCAGGCATTATTACTACCGGCATGCAACTTCATCCCTCTCATGCGACTCTGACGCCGTGGAAAAGATGCCGTCCATCCGTTACGCAAACGACAATGCATGATCGCGATAACCGATTCTCGATGCGACAATATTACAGCAATATTTGATATCCGATTATGCTAATCGTAAACTAATCGATACTAAACGACATGTAGACTTGAATCGTCTGGATACTTGAAATTAAGCATTTGCGTAGTCGCATCTTTAGTCACATTATAGTCATTTGAAACGATCTTCTCGTGTTAGACGAGAAAAAAAGAAGATTAAACGATAAGACGATAGGTCGAGAAATTTTAAATCGTAAAACATAAAAATAATATAACTATATATATATTACTTGCAAAAGAAGATCGTTTTATACTAAGGACAGACGTTACTTCTATTTCGTATGATTTCTTTGTAATATGACTATAAGTCGCGTTAGTCATTCCGTACACCTGAAACTGCATAACTAAAGAAGCATCGACTGATAAATGTTTGTAATCCTGGCCAGTTCAGAATTTTAGTATTACCTTCACTTCGACGTTCAGGTGTCTGAAATGACGTTGCGTGAAGCGTAACACAGTTTTTCGTTTTAACTAATTCGCAATGAACACAGACTTCCGGTGGATACTTAATATTAGGGATTTATTTCGACGCAAATGTGTTACCACGCTCAACGTTTGAACACTACTGTTCACCATTGCGAATTAGTTAAATTTCACAATGCCGGACGATATTCTCAATTGCGTTTAACTCGAGAGTGCCCAACGAAATCGCGCAAAATCGCACATCGCAAATACAAACACGACGCGCGTTTCACACACTGTTGCGCATCCATATTCTTTCTCGTTCTTTGTTTCTTTATAAATATCGTAAAATAGAGAAATTGCGAAATTGAATTAATACAAACTTCACGGATGTTCAACTGAGAACGCATCGTATTCGGTGATGCGTGTTAATTATATTCACGGTATTTTCGTGGTCGATTCAGCAATACGTGAATGATATGGTTAAATAATTATAAATTGGAAATTGAGATGGTGACATTACCTGGGCCGTTACTCACCTACAGGTAACGAACCTGTTATGGGAGTAGGTGATGATGATACCATGTTTAGTCGACCTTGGTCTTTTACTATCGGATCTGCAACGGACGAAATCATCGTTCACTCGACTGGATATATCTCGTTAACAATTCGTGGCAGAACGTTACTTACAAAAATAAGGATGCTCCATAGCTTCGCGTGCAGTAAGTCTTTCGAAATGATCATAGCGCAGAAGTTTGTCAAGAAAGTCGAGACTCTCGTGTGACACCAAATGTTGATTCTCCGAGTGCATGAAACGTTCCCAACGTTTACGCGAATGTCGGCCTAAGATATCATTGAAACGGGGATCCAATTCAATGTGGTACTTTTCAAGATATTCGAACAGTTCCTCGGTTCCAAGGACCTTCGCAATTCTAACTAGTTGGTCGTAATTATCGTGTCCATGAAAAAACGGTTCTTTCCTGAATATCATACTCGCAAGCATGCATCCAAGTGACCACATATCTAATGAATAATCGTACATCTGCGACCCGAAAGATGCTGCATTACCCATAAACCGATTGTAGCAGAATAAATCGTGAACACCAGACAGTTACAAACCTGATAATCTACGAGTAGTTCGGGACCTTTGAAATAACGCGACGCTACTCGTACATTATACTCTTGACCAGGATGATAAAACTCCGCTAGACCCCAGTCGATTAACCGCAACTTCCGATTTTCGTGATCTATCATAACGTTGTGCGGTTTGACGTCCCTATGCATTATTCCCATACTATGGCAATAATCTAATGCCTAAACAGAATAAAAGAAGGAAACCACATTATACAAGATCGTTAAAACCCTTTTCGTGTACTGTTTGGCAACAGACGCAAAATGGATCGAACGCTATCGATACATTACTTACTTAAATATTACGAGTCCGAAAATTTAAAAAATTTCTGAAACTAAAGATTCTTTTTACATACTTTGACGAATGAAAAAGAAAGATATCTTTATTCTGACGAAAAAATACTACATCGTTTTCACTTATTCTATTCATTGTATGCTATATATCTTTGAAATTATTAAATTCTATTGCACTAAATCTTTGTAGAAATTGATACCAAATGCAAATAAAAAAAATATATATACAGAGAGAGAGAGAGAGAGAGAGAGAGAGAGAGAGACCGTTTGCAAGAGTTTATAGCAATTCGAGTGAATAAATTACTATGACTACTATGATATGTTAATATAATCTCAATGCTTTGCAATAGAATAGGTCATATCAAGTGTTCTTTTTCATCCAGAAATATGTAATAGTGTATACCAATAAAATAATTGTAGCATTTGAAATGATAAAGCAACGATCTAATGTAGATTAAATATTTTCGAACTCATCCTTTTGAACCTATGATATGCACCTACATCTATTAAAATAATAATCTCGAAGATTCACATTGGACTGATACTTGGTTCCATTGCATTTAACAATACACGCACTTTTAATAATTCGTAGAGGTAGTATCTTATGTCGTAGTCTGTTAGCGTCTGGTATAATTGCTTGAAATCTGTGTTGTTAACATGTTCGAATATCAGTGCCGGTGTCCTCGATACTGGATCTTTGACAACAGCTTGGAGTGTAATTATGTTGGTCCCACCTTTCAGATTTTCTAAGATTTTTATCTCCCTTTTTATTTTCTTCTTTTTTACAGGCTAGAAATCAAAATCGTATAAGAATCACAGCGATCGATTGCCATCGATTTATCCACACATTTGTTCTGTACCTTCAAAATTTTTACAACGCATTTTTCATTATTCGTTATATTAATAGCTTCAAATACTTCGCTATATTTTCCTCTGCCTAATTTTCTTACTAGTTGATAATCATCTTGTTGTCTATAATAAACAATCGTTCACAATTAAAGTAACAGGAGGTAGACACGTGTACTGACAAGTATGGTTCTCTTTTATATTGTTTTCACTTACCCCCAATCGACAACATAAGATTCATAGTCCCAGTAATCTCTGGGTTTGTGTGAATTTACATCAGTGTAAACTCGCGCTCTACTGGGTAGTGCCATGTTCTCTGATAAATCACTACTACTATTTGTTTTTCGGATTGCTATTCTTTCACTGTTGTCTATTGAAAAATTACAAAAGCTAGTTAATTTATCTCCTCCACTCACCCAGTTACGAACGCGCGAGTATAAATACACACCTGAGTTATCGAACAAACAAGAAAAAAATCACATTAAATAGGATAACAGTTGGACAAAGAGAATACAAGAAATTGTTAAGTATATGGGCATGTATCATTGAATCTTTATATACGAACTACCACAGACATTACTAATATTTCTGTTGCATTATAACAGCCAAACATTACATTCATATTCCTTTATAATTGATTTACTTATAGATACTAACGATAAGAGTGCATCGTTCACGTAACATGTATCTTCTATTTCACTCAAGAAGTGATTACAACAATGGAAAATAAAATTCAATTATATCCTATTGATTACACCTTGAGAAACTTGAAACTGTTTACATGAATTATAAAAATGAATACTATTCATCATAAAATTGCAGTAACATGCTAAAGCTTGGCTAACCAATCGCAGATTCATATAACACGTTCTACATAAAAATGATGAAGGATTCAACTAAATTCATTCGCGAATTGTTTACTTTACATTTCATTAAAAGTATTTATGTAACATTTATTTAAATGCGATTGGAAAAACTAGATATATGGTTAGAAGAATCAAAACAACTTTAGCAAAAATTATTGTGATATTGCATAAAGTAGACGAGGGAAAGGACAGATCTTAAAATAAGGGGAAAATAAACAAGCGAAAAAAAAACGTGTTCTGCTATTACAACGAATGAACTGCATAATCCTTATAGATATCTATTGATTGTGAACACACAGAGTACTACTAGTAGTCGTTCCTATGGTTCCTAGTTACCATTTAAGCGCAGGAAAAATTTCTCCACGCGGCTTCAATTTTCGCGTAGAGAATAGGAATCAATATATTCGTCGGACAGTTTAAATCGAGACAAAAATTAATCTACTATCTTAACACGGATTAGAAACACGCACAAGCACAAAGCACGAACACACATGTACCGAGATAAATCACACGCCATCGCAATCAGGATATTAATGTTGACTTATTTTCGACTTACCTAATACATTCCGGCCCCGAATCTTGATTAGATTGCCAGCAACAGATCTCTAAATTCGTCGTGAAATCACGCAACCTGCCTAGAGGATACGTGAGGCCGCGCGAACGCGTGAAACTCAAAGATTTTTGCGGGCGGCCGGCTTCTCAAACGAGCGAGGTCCAAGATGGCAGCCAACAACCCACCACAAACATCAAATACACAGATCGAAATCTTCAACCTTGAATTTCAACCGTCCCTTCAATGAAACCTCTTCGAATTCCGCGTGTTTCCACTTCCGTATTTCTCATCTTATTTCGAGAATGTATTTCTAGCACGTAAAAATTGTGTAGAATCAAGTATATACACGTTAAATATTATTTAAGTTCAAGATTATTACTTTCATAATCTTAATCAAAATTCTTTGAACACGATGTCGTCACAATTATAGTGAGGAATTTAAGAACGCCTTACATATCGACCAATCGGAATTTCTTTTTTATAATCATTAGTGATTTTATATTCGTTGTCTGCAAAATGAAATTCAAAATGCCGCTATTCAACGATCTTATCAACCCTATTTCTCTCGAAAAATGGTGTTGCTTAAATATTAACTTGATTGATTTGAAATAATACGCGCTTCTTTATTGTTCTACTTCTTGAAAATCCTATTATAATTTTTTGGAACGAGTGCAAGTTGTTCGGTTTTTAAATTCATTTGTTTCGCATTTGGATGAATTTAGAAAGTTGCGAGAAAATAATAAATAGGTCGAGATTCGTTTTATTTAAATATTAGCTGCCCTACTGCAGTTTTCGATTCCTAAATAATATAATTGCTCGAAATTGACCAGTAGCGCTATAAGTACTTCAGCGGAAGAAAGACACAACAATTCATTGCAAAACAACCTTTAGAAAAATTTACTTATCAAATTTGAAATATCAGGATATTTTATAAATGCACATCAATACTTCAGGAGGTAAATTTGTACACTAGACAAGTAAAGAATTTATTCAGTATCATACATTTTATTTTGTACAAGTCTTTGATTAAAAATATTGTTGAGTATGTTCCAATTTGCTTATTGTATTGTTTCGATTTCTCCTAAATATATTTGTTTGTCGCTGGATCCAGAGCAAACTGAAAATGAGAGATAGTACATTTGCAATTATTCTAGATCACGTACTAATGATTAGATTTACACATAATGTATAAGCTGCTTACCAATAGGTTCCTTAGGATGAAAATCAATGTCATTCACGGAACCATTATGACCAGGCAATTTATATAATATCCTGCGACTCGTAGTATCCCAGATATAATGAAATCTGTCTGATGATCCAGCTGATACTTTACTACCGTCTGGTGACCATGCACATCTCAAAAGGTTCTGTAACCATTTACAAAAAATGAAATTCCAAATGGCTAACCAATCGCAGATTCATATAACACGTTCTACATAAAAATGATGAAGGATTCAACTAAATTCATTCGCGAATTGTTTACTTTACATTTCATTAAAAGTATTTATGTAACATTTATTTAAATGCGATTGGAAAAACTAGATATATGGTTAGAAGAATCAAAACAACTTTAGCAAAAATTATTGTGATATTGCATAAAGTAGACGAGGGAAAGGACAGATCTTAAAATAAGGGGAAAATAAACAAGCGAAAAAAAAACGTGTTCTGCTATTACAACGAATGAACTGCATAATCCTTATAGATATCTATTGATTGTGAACACACAGAGTACTACTAGTAGTCGTTCCTATGGTTCCTAGTTACCATTTAAGCGCAGGAAAAATTTCTCCACGCGGCTTCAATTTTCGCGTAGAGAATAGGAATCAATATATTCGTCGGACAGTTTAAATCGAGACAAAAATTAATCTACTATCTTAACACGGATTAGAAACACGCACAAGCACAAAGCACGAACACACATGTACCGAGATAAATCACACGCCATCGCAATCAGGATATTAATGTTGACTTATTTTCGACTTACCTAATACATTCCGGCCCCGAATCTTGATTAGATTGCCAGCAACAGATCTCTAAATTCGTCGTGAAATCACGCAACCTGCCTAGAGGATACGTGAGGCCGCGCGAACGCGTGAAACTCAAAGATTTTTGCGGGCGGCCGGCTTCTCAAACGAGCGAGGTCCAAGATGGCAGCCAACAACCCACCACAAACATCAAATACACAGATCGAAATCTTCAACCTTGAATTTCAACCGTCCCTTCAATGAAACCTCTTCGAATTCCGCGTGTTTCCACTTCCGTATTTCTCATCTTATTTCGAGAATGTATTTCTAGCACGTAAAAATTGTGTAGAATCAAGTATATACACGTTAAATATTATTTAAGTTCAAGATTATTACTTTCATAATCTTAATCAAAATTCTTTGAACACGATGTCGTCACAATTATAGTGAGGAATTTAAGAACGCCTTACATATCGACCAATCGGAATTTCTTTTTTATAATCATTAGTGATTTTATATTCGTTGTCTGCAAAATGAAATTCAAAATGCCGCTATTCAACGATCTTATCAACCCTATTTCTCTCGAAAAATGGTGTTGCTTAAATATTAACTTGATTGATTTGAAATAATACGCGCTTCTTTATTGTTCTACTTCTTGAAAATCCTATTATAATTTTTTGGAACGAGTGCAAGTTGTTCGGTTTTTAAATTCATTTGTTTCGCATTTGGATGAATTTAGAAAGTTGCGAGAAAATAATAAATAGGTCGAGATTCGTTTTATTTAAATATTAGCTGCCCTACTGCAGTTTTCGATTCCTAAATAATATAATTGCTCGAAATTGACCAGTAGCGCTATAAGTACTTCAGCGGAAGAAAGACACAACAATTCATTGCAAAACAACCTTTAGAAAAATTTACTTATCAAATTTGAAATATCAGGATATTTTATAAATGCACATCAATACTTCAGGAGGTAAATTTGTACACTAGACAAGTAAAGAATTTATTCAGTATCATACATTTTATTTTGTACAAGTCTTTGATTAAAAATATTGTTGAGTATGTTCCAATTTGCTTATTGTATTGTTTCGATTTCTCCTAAATATATTTGTTTGTCGCTGGATCCAGAGCAAACTGAAAATGAGAGATAGTACATTTGCAATTATTCTAGATCACGTACTAATGATTAGATTTACACATAATGTATAAGCTGCTTACCAATAGGTTCCTTAGGATGAAAATCAATGTCATTCACGGAACCATTATGACCAGGCAATTTATATAATATCCTGCGACTCGTAGTATCCCAGATATAATGAAATCTGTCTGATGATCCAGCTGATACTTTACTACCGTCTGGTGACCATGCACATCTCAAAAGGTTCTGTAACCATTTACAAAAAATGAAATTCCAAAATTTTAAGTCTAATCTAATGAACCACATACCTTCTCGAAGTTGTGTTGATGTCCAGATAGAATTTTTACACATCGTTCGTAAGGAGCAAACGGTCTCACATCCCAGATTCTTAAAGTATTGTCCATTGCATTTGATAATATGTAAGAGCCATCTGGGCTGAGACTTAATCCAGTTATAGTATCAGAATGTCCCTTGAGTTTATAAAGAACAGAATTCTTTCTTAAATCCCATACTTTTATATCATTATCTATACCTCCACTTATTACTTGCTCCGCTGTGTCGTTAAATGTCACCGCAGTCACCTAAAGTAGGAACAAAAGTATTAACAGGTGGATTTAAGAATTTAGGAACATTGAAATCTTACCTGATAAGTATTGTTCAGGGTATAGCACTGACCCCTTTTTCTGGGATCCCAAACACGTATCGTGCTATCATCACTACCTGAACAAAGTTGTGTAAGTCCCCTCCTTGCCCCAGACACAGAGTTCACGAAACAAGTGTGACCTTTCAGTTTTTTAATCCTAGTCCCAACAACAATATCCCATAAACCTAATGTCATATCTGTACTGGCCGTATATAAATGATTCCCATCGGGACTAAAATGTAATTCCATGATAGCTCCACTGTGCCCAGTCATCACAGAAATATTTTCACATTCACCATAGACGTTCCAAATGACTGAAAATTTAATATTACTTTTTAAATGAAATATAGACAATATTTAATAATTCAATATCTACTGAAAATCACATGTAACATACAAATTTGTCTGTCGAATCCGGTCGAAGCGAGATATTGGCCTTCTGGATGAAATTCCAGAGAAAATATATCTCCTTGATGTCCTTCAAGAAGCATGATCGGTGCAAGTAAATTTGACGTTCTAGGCGGTCCCTGTAATAAATATCTGTTAAATAGACGGCGATTTATTGGCAAATTGAGTGAAGCTTAACAGGTTACATTACGTTTTGTACGACCGCCTTTTCTCTGCTACTGAAGACGACCTCATTTTTAGTTCTCTTCGAGGCTGGAACTAAAGCTAAAATATCGTCTCCTTTACGTTTATCCAAGATCGGCATAATGAACTATTTAATCGTTTAACTACGTTCACGATTTTTGGCAATCCACTCAACGCGGATACTACAAACAACAACAATAACAAACTGAAGCAGTGGCGTTGATGAGCCAGACATTACTTGAAGACTATGCTCAAAGATGGTGCTCGACGTGCTGTGCTGTCTCGAGTGCAATATTGCATTACGTATACACATCGACGGTTTTAATCGCCCCGTCGCTGGTTGGGGAACGGGAACGTGAAAGTCTTCCCACTTTCTAGCCTGGCCAGCCAGGCCAGGGCAGGGAGTCTTTCTTCAGTATGTTATTTACCGCCGTGGCAGTTGGATGTATCGTGCTGTGGTTCTATGGTGCTCCAGTTTTCATGAAGTATTGTGACTTTTGCGCCGACATAAGAATTATGTCGACACAGAATGGGTAATTTATCAACACTGGTGAAGTTGAGTGCAACCTTTCTCTTCTGTGTTTTGGATTATACGTGGGCCAATAACGAGTCACAAGGTGAGATCAATTTTATACAATATGTATGCATGACATCCTGTAGATATATTAAAACACACGTGGTAATCATGATCTATTGAATCTTGAGACCAGCATTAAACTTTGGCATTCGTTACCTCGAAGTCTTCACCATTTACGAACTCTCGCATATAGAAAACAATTTCGTACATTTAAAATACAGAGTCACCTTGTGTTTCCGCAACGTAAATCAGTAATTAAGTTCTCATTATACAATTCCTGTTGCTATCAGTAATTTATTAAATGGATAGCACTTAGATCATTCTCAATCGCTAGACGTTCTCTGTCGTAAAATGTACGAAGTTGCTTGTCAAATGTCGATTTTATTGAATTTTGTTTGTATGATAAGTTAATATAAACACAATCTGGGTTGCGTTACTGTAATAAGTCACGCGAAGAGTATATATGTATATTGCATATGAAACGCAACAGTGGCCGAGTCCAGTTTATCTCTAATCGCAAGCTAATTGTACTATGCACCGTGTTTGCAAGTTCGTAAGCGCACTGTAAGAGACAGGAGAAGTCCTCTCAGTCACTCAATCATTTTTAAAAAGGCATGCACATTTAAAACGTTGTATCGGTTTTCTGTAATTCGCCTTCGGATATTCCATATCCAGAAAAGTTTTTGTCAGCAATTCTTATTGCTCGCAATTCTGTGAAAGCAGCAAACATTTCTGCACACCTGCTAATATTTAAAAACAATTGAAACATCACACAATTTAAAGTAAAGTTTTTACAATCGTTCTTCATTTTTAGTTACGATAACAGTACTTTTTAAGCAGGACAGGATATGACGATTCTTGTTAACGAAAGAAAGGATTGACTTGAATTTGCTAGTTGTGAACGAAGAATAATAACGAGGCGAGGGAGGTTGAAAAATCGCTCCTATTACGAAGTTGAAATATGTATTTCTAATCAAGTCCAACAAGATTAAATCGATGTTCAGGTTGTTTGTGCAAGTGAAAGGAGAGACAAGGATCGTTCTTGCGTTATCGGAGCTCGGTTGTGTGCGGACTCTGGGTTAGAGAACTCTGTGCTTACCGGCCCTGACCAGGACGGATCACCACCGAGTATAGGATCGCGGTAAATGCAGGGGAAAGGTGTATGCGGCTCTAGGATAGAAGTGCCTCCGTGAAACCTTCTAGAAGCGTATCGTAGCATTTGCTGTATTCTCCTACACTGTACAGTCGCTCGCAACGAGAGTTTCAGTTACAATTACGCCTAAGCAGATTTCAAATTTCATTTACTGTTTACTGTAACTATTTTACTTGTTACAAGCGTAATGGGTAGAACGTAAATGGGGCGCAATAAATTTTTTACACGTGCGTGAAAACATGTAAAGTAGCTAAAAGTGAAAGGCACGAACTAAAAGTATTCGCACCCGCACCCATACATTTCAATGAGGCTACTCCTTATTAAAATGACATAATTTCATGATGAATACTCTATTAAAAGAACTTTTCCATCAGCTGACACTTTTATCGTTCGACTCTATACTCTATACGAAACAGCAGAAAATCCGTTCGATGCTTGAATAAGTTTGATGATTAAAATATTTTCGTCAAGTGGGTTTCCCTGCTGGCTCACGAGTTAGTCTCGCATCCTCTAATTTGTAGAAGCATGTTCGGGGCTAGCGTCACACGTTTAGTTTTCTATCGTGTACACGTGCCAACGAGCACATCGTTGATAGTCCGCGATAAGCGATGGCATCCTGTGAGCACCGTAGCTTAATATAGTAGGCACCACTATATCATTTAGATGAAAAGATTACCTGCAACTTTTCTCATTATAATAATAGAACCGTACATCTTTCATATCTATTGTTCTAAATCTACAAACATGTCGTTTGTAGATTTGTATGTATCAACGACACGTGCGATATTGTTCTTACGTTTGTACACGACTGTTGTTAAATTCCTGCTGGCTAATTAGACCAGAAAATAATTCACTCCGACTGGTACTTATGCGTATAAGTCAGTTTGTTAAGGTCACGTTAGCTGGATGACTTTTTTTTTCTATCTGAGAACCATGCTCGATCTCGAAGACACCGTAGGTAAGCGGAATCTAGGTCTTTTTTACAAGTGAGGTAACTGGTAGTAGAAAGGGAAGTGGGAACGGTAGTCTCAGCGTCGAACTCCCATTTGATTTTCCCAGGTACCGTTTCATTCCACGAAACTAGCCTGATTCGTCAGTTTAGTGCCCCGAGCTAATTGATTCCTACCTGGCTAACAAGATCCTCGTTGTCCAAGTAAAATTAAGTAAGACGCGTTTCTTGTTTCTCGTTATTAATTTCGTAGCCTCCTACGAGATCTGTTATATAAAAGTTTCGCACTCTCATGAACGTCTCTCTTCCCTTGACTTAAGCATGTATTGGCTGTACAGTCAATCCCAAAAGTTTATGCACTTTAGAAACGCATTTTTTAAAAAGAAATCAGACGTCGGAAGAACATTGCTAATAATAAAAAA